TCGGACCACCACTGATTCTTGTGGCTATCAAAGAATTCTGGGTCACGGTTGGGATCGCGTGAAAAATGAGCTGCGGTATACTGACCTGCACATACAAGTTACTGGTCACCACGATAGCAGCGATAAGAACCGCAACAACAAGGTTAAACGCTCGACTGCCATCAATGTATCAATGTACATATATGTATCATATCAAGCGCCACAACCCCAACAATGTCCATGTCCGAATTCGCCAAGATTCTCGACGAAATGGACTTTGAACAGCGCCAGTCGCCTGTCATCCAAGCTTTAAAGCTGGAGTCGATTCTCAACGTCGCGGAGCTAAATGCCAGGCAAGATCGCCTTAAGGCGTCTATCGACGCCATTACTTCAAGGCCTGCTCCGGCACGGAACCTCTGTGTATTCTGCTCGGGGACAGAAGAGGCCACAGCGCACCCATGTGGAAGATGCCCCCCGTATACGGATTCCGTCGCTCGGGCAGTCCAGGCCTAGCGACTGGGCCCATGCGAACGTTGTCTGAAACCGGGGCATCGTGAGGAATGCGGCGTCGTCTGCAACACCTGCCGCATGCCGCACAACACTTCTATGCCCCGTTCGTGAATACAGGACCATTCCAAAGAAGAGGAAGCTATAGTAGACCAATTTCATCATGGTAGTATTTATATTCTTTTCTGTTGCGCCAATTGGTACTATGTATGTATCCTGTAACATTTCAGTAGCATCTTAATTTGTGAAATTTCTCTCTCGTCGCCCCTGGGAGTGTTGCCGACCAGCCGCAAGCTGCCGGCGCTGCACAAGTTGCCCCGTCCCTATAGTGAAAGCGCTCGCTACGTAAAGACAATGCGTTGCGCTCCATCGACAACGGCATGATCGATTTGTCGATTTGTTTCTGAACTACTTGTTTCAAATTTTCGAATTGCCGAGGTTTATATGAAATTGAGAGTATTTGATGTGCTGAATCTGGAAACAGGACTGCTTCGCTTGATTTTTTCAAGCAAAGTTACGCCTATAATTTATAGAGAAAAATGCATTCAATCTGAAGACCTAATGTATTCGCCTATCCTGTCTAAGTACTAATTTCGGAATCTTCAAGTTTTTCTTTGCAGAACTTTAGCGTGAAAATGCAAATATATTGGCAAATTTCTAGGAAATTCAAAAATAGCTGTGACTGCTGTACTCAAGCATCGGCCGTATTGATCCATTAACTGAGAAAAGGTGTATTCAGCTCATTCCTACATCTATCGCATCTTCTATTTCTCGGTTCCAAAAAGGTAAATTCAAGTTGTCTCATATCAACTAACCTTTTGTTTACCCCGATAAGATGTTCGCTAGGTTGTTCTAAACGCTTGTGGCGTCATAGTTCGGGTCATGACACTTCAAAAATGTCTTAAGTAGCTTTTTTATGATATGTGACAATTTTCCGATTGAAATTGCTCAATTTGACAGTAAAGACAATAGCTGTAATACCTCCAAATTAATCTCACATAAATCATAAAAAATTGATAGCATTTCGATAAAAAGCTCCAAACTACTGAAGAGATTCAAACCATGTAGAATGTAAAAGCTGTGAGTCTTCGAAACTGCATGTTTAGATATGAATTAAATTCTTTGATAAATCAACACAAGAAATATAAACAGAGTTCAGAATATTTCGATCCAAAAATTTCTTAGGATCTTCCCCGTCTATTTCAGAAACCACCGAAAAAGTGAAGGAAAGTACTGTAGATGACCTGTTATTTGACTTGTTCGCAAGAAAAAGATGCAATACTCTTAATAAGTGTTTGAGAGAACTCATGGGCCACCTTTCAACACTGATGGTTAAGAAAAACTGCAGATCAGCCATTCCACTGAGCCTCCAAAACACCTTAATGCGACTAGCCTTAAAAAGGGCGTGGCGATAAGTGCATAGGTAAATGACACACATATGCGTAGCGCACACTTATTGGCAGCTATCGTTCATCTTGGCATACACCCCGACAGGCGACCCCCATCCCTTTCATTATTTACTCATTGCTCCCTGCTAGAAAAGCAGGGGCCAACTGAGATAAGAACCTTTTTCTTGTACTAGGTTTTGCCCGCTCGAAAGGGCCCAATTCCTTTCCTCTGTATTTGCTCGTAAATAAATATTCACTGAACCATCGACACAAATACCAGATAGCACATCTCCAGACTAGGTGGCCCGCTGAGGACTAATTTGAGTGTAAAAAAGTTCTTAAGAAGGCGGAGATGCCGAAATGTTAGCCAGAATGAAGATCTTCAAATTTGGTTTTTTTAGAGAAAAAGATACTGACAATGAGTCTTTACCTGAGACAATGCAACGGATACACATTCTTCGAGAAACTACTGTATATTTTTCCCCATTTTTTCAAAATA